CTTCCTACTACTGCCTGATCTGATTGCTATAGGCAAAGGGCTTCAGGGACAATGTTATTCTGCCCTCTTGTTCCAGTACTCAAGAAAGAACATGACCAAATGCAATCAGCAAAGCAGGGCTGGTGTCCAGCTTTTCTCCTTACAAACAGCACTTGCATAATTAGCTTAATTTATTCCACCCTGTCTGCTCAGATTCAGCCAAATTCAGGCTCTGAGCTGAAGAAAACTGAGCCTGACCATATAATAGTCCTAGCCTCACAGATGGGCTCCTGTCTTATCCAGGAGAGATCCAGATATGTCCAAATCCCTGAAAGGAGAACCTGAAGAAGAAACGCAGCCTCACATGCATTCCACTGAGATGACCAAAGACAAGCAGCCAGTCGGCCATCCAACTCAGTAATATGCTAGTCCCATCATGAAACTTTGCCAAACCCAAACAAAGGCCACACTTCACCCAACACAGATGCTTAAAAGTGATGCTGGAAAGCCAGCCTCTCCATCACTTCTCAACTTGTAAGCATTTTTCTAATATCTACATGGGCCAAGAGAATAAATAGTTCACAGTGAGATTTGAAGAACAACAGGGAAAACTATTTAGAATGGTCTAGAATTCAACAGGGGGATTGATTTGTGCCAGGAGTTACACATAATTATACCATTTAATCCTCACTACTTCCTATGTAGGCCTTTTTACCCAAACATGTACATAAGCAAGCTGAGGAAATTATAGAGAATAGCACATTTCTGGGCTCAGCTGACTTCTCTACAGAATTTTGTGGACTTTCACTGTGACATTACCAGTTCTTCCAAAAGACCAAAGGAAAAGTCTGTCTTGAATGTTAACCTATTATAAAGGTCAGTTCCTGTCTTCTTAACAGACTGATTCCCCTCCGATTCCTCCTTGGGTGGGAGATTGGAGGCTGGGTGGTTATCTATCTTATGCTGCTGTCACTCTTTGGGAAGAGGATGCTTCCCATAAGAGAAAATTCTTTCCAAAACTTGGTGCTTATTTTAGGAGAGCTGTGTGGATTCCCAGCCATCGTCACACAGGAAATCTTATACCTCTAAATCAAAGATAAACTCTTCAAGTAAATTTCAGAAACCCTATTGTTCATTGTAGACTCTAAAAATAAACAGCAAAGACTGAGACAGAGGAAGTTGAACCGCTGGTCCGGAGCATTTGGGAACACATGAATTTTCAGCAGATAAGCTAAACCCTATAGTATATTTCTCTCATCTTTGGAGTTTTTCCAACAGCTTTCATAGTTCCAAGGGTTTTTCTGCTGATTCCAAAAGTTACATTACATCTGATTCGTTTTTGTTACTCAAAACATTCACTTTTGATGAGTAAATTTGCTACTTCAAAAAAATTTCTCCAAACAATGGTCTAAAAGAAACTGATCCAAAGGAGTTTTCTACTTGGAAATATTTATAATATACCTATACAATACTACATTAGGGAAAATATCTAATCCCACAGTTAATCCAAAACAAAATATGACTTGTAAGTACTAAGTACTTATAAGCAACTCAATAAATAAATGATAGTGATAATAGTAACATGCATTTAGAGAAATTTGTTATTTCAAAACATTTTCTCACATGTCATTTTAAATGACCCTCAAAATGCCCATGGCAGGGGCACTGCGAACTTGCTTATATATAACGACTTATATCCTGGCTTTGTCACTTGTTAGCTCTGTGACCTCGGGCAGTTTACTTAAGTAATCTGAGCCTCAGCTCTTTCAGTTGTGAAACATGAATGATAATCCTTCCTTGCAGAATGGATGAGAGACTTACAGACAACATATGCCAAAGGCACAGCAAGTACCAAACATATGGCAGATATTTAGAAATGGAAATGATCACTATTATTATAAGGCAGGACTGATATCATTATCCCTTCTTAAAGTTGAGGCAGCTGAGCTGAAAGAGCTCAACTGATTCTCCCAGTCACTACAGCCACCAGAATACCAGAGTTAGGACTGGAACGTGGGTCTCCAATCTGCCAAAGAAAAGAATTCTCTGCATTCTTCAAAACTCAATCTGTGAAAAGTAGAATTATTGCAAAACAAGAGAGTTGATCTATGAATCTTGAAGATAGTCAATCCATGCTTTCAACAGCAAAAGGCAATTAAGTTAAAGCTCTGCCGCCATGATATTGTTCTCAACAGGAACACAATTTAACTGAAGCAAATGTGTCTTGTTTGGAGATAGCCAACACCTTCTAAGGATTTGATGCATTTTATCTTCACCATCATTCATATCTTTTTTTTTAATGACCTGCTTTCAAACTTTTACTAATCCTGACATTTCTGAGTGGGTCATCTGCCCATCAATTGAAGGGAAATCATTTCTGAACAAAATAAATCAAAAGTAAGAGACACTTACCACCTCCAGAATGCTCCTGGAGCTCACCAGTTCAATTACCATTTCAAATACTCAGTTTATCCCTCCTAAGCAGGAATATGGGTCATTTTAAGACTTTTGGTAGCTTCTGACACATGCCGGACAGAACATTTTTATCTTCATTTTTTTTCAGTTCCAGATTTAAAATTAATTCTATATGTTCTTCTCAAAATGTATTTATAATAAGTTATTACATGCAGCATTTTTGACAATAATTTGAGACCTGCCTCAAATTAGGATGTTTTCAAAACCCTAAACAAGAACAAACTTCCGTGATGCTCTCTATAGACAGTAGCTGGGATGTTTGTGAAATCACTGAAATAATACTGAAGCTGAGTATCATTTATCTTGTCTATCACGTGCTGGAATATTTGGAGTAAAGACAATCAAATGAGTGTCAATATTAACGCTAATGAATGAAAATGGAAGAGAGAAAGAGTGAGAGAATCCAGAAACACTCTCTCCCCTACATACCTGGTAGAAAACAAGTCAAAACATGTGATGATTTATAGACAGCTACAAGAACATCAACATTGTAAATATTTACTTGATACCAAGCCCAATGTGCTATTTAGCCAATAACTATTCCAAGTTGTTAGTAAGTTCTCCTTTCACTTCTTTATTCTTGTCTATTTTTTTTCTTTCTTTGGAACTTCTGTTTTTTTAATACCTAGATTTCTTTGCATTTATTTCTATTTTCCTTTATCCCCTGTTCTTTGTTACATGAAAGTATTCTCAGCACAATCAAGAGTCTATAGAAATGTAAGGTTGTTGTATTATTGCTTCTTGTCATCTTTCTTACTCATGTCAAGACAAGTGAAAGGTCTTTATATTCTCACTATTGTTACTATAACTTGTTCCTCCCGGTTTTGTCTCACCTGGACTTCCACAGGTTTTTTAGAATATAACGTATAAATATCAATTTATAAGGGCAGAGTTGAAGATCTTTCCACTTTTTAAATCTGGAAGCCAGCAACATTCTTTGAACACCATCTGCAAGCATAATAATTGCACTGAAACTACAGGGGAAATTCCAAGGACATGAAAGATGTTTCTTGACCTGAGTAAGCTTCATGCCCAGTTAGAGTGACAAGCCATACAATGAGCACCTAAAGGGGACCTCTGTAAGATGTACAGATAACTAGAGTTCACACAGAGGGACAATTCAAGTCAGCCAGGTTGAGCTCATCATGTAAAGTTTTCCAAAAACAAATTTTAAAAAGGAAAAGAGTGATGAGAAGTAAAAAGGAATAAGAACATTCTACCTGACCTGTTTCTGTTAGTAAATAATTTCTGTAATCTTCTGCAGGCCCCTAGGGACTATAAGCTCTCTGATACCTTTTTTTTTTTATTATTATTTTTGTTTTGAATATATTATCAAAAGCTCCCTTGGAACTTAAGAAAGCTCTAATATATCTTATTTTATGCATTTTTTTAACTTCCGCGATCTGCATATTGCTTTTGTATAATCACAGCTTGATTCTCTAGTTCTATCAGGGTTTTGTTTTTTTTTAGGTCCTTTTAGGTATATTTTTAGAATGACATGTGAAAGGCAACTTTTTTTTTTTTTTTTGAAAAGCCATTCTGCTACATCTGCTGTTTGAGACAGCACTTGAGACTTTATTTCATCCCTCCCTGATGCTCTATGTTGTCCTTCAGGCAGTTTTATTCTCTCTGCAAAAAGGATCAGGTTACAAAACAGCCTTCTCTACACTGAAGTGGGGGAAGCCAAAGCCAAATGATCTAAATATAGTCAGAATCTGTTGGACAGTTGATCAATAAGCACCAAGCCGGGAATGTAATTGTTTCTACCATCTTTTCCCAACACTCTGCATTTTCTTTTTCAATTTTATTTGACACCAAAGTTGATAAAGTGGCTCTTCCTTGAAAATGAAAATGCATCATGGTAAAAAAAAAGTGGGGGGGGGCAAGATATTTTAAACAAGAAGCCAGACTCCCAATACCAGAAAAGCTTCTATTTGTTGCTTTCTTAATGACAGACACAGGTTGAAGACCAGGCTATAAACAAAAGAGCTCCTATAAACTGAGCCTCCCCACACAAACGCATCAAATGCTTCACCCACCTGCTTATGGGACACATACATTTTGTTCCAAAATAAGAGTATAGTGCCAAATTCAAATATCCAGATGCAATTAATATGTACTATATTTGCATAAAAGTGAGTTTGCCCATTCCTGAAAATTAGAATTTCTTGGGAGGAGGCTGTTGATAAATTGAAGAAGAAATAAAAGAGAGGAAAAGCACTGTAAGACAGTATAGCAAGGGGAGACTTGGGTGGCCAAAGAACAACTTGAGGGGTAAATAATATTTCACAAGTAATAGTTTCACATTATTTCCAAAGGCCAATCACAGCAAGGGCCATGAAGAAGGCATCAGCATCTGTTAGCCCTCTGTCAATCAGGGCTCTCACCACCATTTTTTCACCTTTAGGCACCATGAACAATTTGCCTACTTGCTTCCAACCAAGCAAATTTAATAAAGCCCATAGTTCATCCATGTGACTTCAAGTTTTAAGAAAATAACCTTAGGATGAAGCTTTTGTTTCACAAGTTATCTTTTCTCCACGCAGCCCTGTCTTCTAGATGGAGAATGAAGAGCTCCCAATGGAAGAAAGCATATCCATGTACATTTTTCTCCATTGTGAGACGTCAAGCCGAGTGCTCTGTATGTAATACAGCCATGGGTGTTTGCACATTGTAAGCCAGTGTCATATTTGTCTTGTGCTTTTCATCATACATTTGATTTAGCAGGCAAATTTTCAAGGCTCAGCGCTGATGGATGTACCCTGGAGCCAACTTCAAAGCCAGACCTTAGATTTATGGAAATAAATAAGCATAGTACTTCAATTACAAGTTCCTACTTTGAATTCCAATGTGCACATAAAAATGTTCATCCTAAAAATCCTGCCCTTGATTTTTGACCCAGGAAGTCTCTTGATTTTGCTCTTAGCACCATTCTCATCTCACCGTGCCATTTTAACTCAGTCTGCTTTCACAAATACAGTATAAAAATTGAGTTCCACCATGTCCTATAATATATGTCTCTTTTTGCTAATTGGCAAGCGATTTTTGCAAATTGGTGAGAGATTTTTAAAAAGTCACCCTGACTAACTCTGGCCAAGCTGGGTAGCAGCTGGAAAGCCCACAGAGCCAACCCAATTTGCATCATCTTATCAAAGCTTTCAAAGTTTGGATGCCAGTCAGCTGGTACCATAGTGAATTAGAGCAGTTCCCTACTTTGCCTATAGTCTGAGACCCCATGGCAAGTTCTCAAAGGGGACTGAACAGGGGCAGGTAAACAAGTAGTCAGCTGTACAAGAGCCTGCTACTGCAAAGCATACAGAAAATGACAGAGATGCAGACCTGAAAGAACCAGAACATGTATCCACACACATGCATGTGTATACACATACATACACACAAACATGAAGTCACACGTGCACATATGTGCATGTATACTCCTGTACACACATGACACAGTGGGAAAATAGTTGTGACATACTAAAGGGAATGAAAATTTCAAAATTACTGTAAATATACTTTCAAGACTCCAAGGTTTGGAAGAGGGTATTCCACAAGTGATTCCTCTACCTTAAACAATTAGGACAAAAAAAAACAAGGGGCAGGGGTGGTGAATCCCTGAAAATACAGAGCATACCACCAGCAGAGAATAAAAGACACTAATGCTGCCAAAGATTAGTACACAGAATTCAGATTTAATAGTAAAAAACAGAGGGGGGTGGGGAACAAAAGAGAAAAAAGAGACCAAAAAGGAGAAGAAAAGAGAAGCCAAAGTTTCAAAGAGAGCTAAGTACAAAGGTTTAAGCTGAAATGACACTGCAGGAATAAAGGAGGCTTGTAACTGAATTACTATGAAATAACGTTGGGCCCAAAATGAGTGATGGAACATTTTTAAATGTAGGAACTAAAAAATCAGGATGAGACATTCTTTAAGTAAATTATAATTCAAATGGGATAAAAATACAGTTTAACATTAGGTAAATCATAATTCAAATAGGACAATATAGTTTAACATTTGGGGGATTTATAAAAATATGCAGTCGATTTGACAATTTTGAAAAATACAACAATAAAAAAGAATAAGGAAGGAAGAGAAACATCCTATTAATGAAAGAGAATCTCTGTTATCATACATTCTTCTGGTCACATCTATGCAAATTGTGATTACACTGTCTATGCTGTGACTTTGTCAGCATCACAACTTGTCATAATTTTTCATGATGTTAAATGATCTCTAAAACTATAATTTTTAGACAGTTTGATGCCTAATTTTTATATTATGAACAAAAGTGCATGAATACCTTCATACATAATTTTTAATTACTTTCTTTTTCTAATTACATAGTAATTGCTTCCTTAGAATATACTCTTTTTTTATATTTGAGAAGAAAATAAAGGGTAAAAGCTGGTCCTCTGGATTCATTAAAGCTTTTCTTTATATTCTTTTTAGTTACATACAATACCAGGATACACCCTGACATCATCACAAAAGCATGGAACACAATCCACTCCAATTCAGTCCCCAGCACTTCCCCGCTGCCCCCTAGTCCCCTCCCTCCACTCCACCCATCCTTCTTCTATGCACTTGAAGGATTCGAAAGTGCAAAATAACTTTTTAAAAATTTTGTACCATTTTTTTGCCACTTACAATATATAAAATTTTGTTTCACCACACACTAGGCACCATGAGCATTTAGGAGAAAAAAAAGTCTTTTGTTTGATTAGTGGGGGTCAGAGGCACCTTTAATCTAAATCCAATTTGCTATTCAATACATACATTCAACTCCTGAATATGCACAGAAGTTCTTATACTTTTTATAACAATGAACTGCTTTGAGAGTAATGTGAAACCTTTGAGAGTAATGTGAACTTCTTTCTGTAAACATGTTCACATACAGTGAGAGAAATTCCCTGGAGCTCCATCATAGAACAATCTCTAACTGACTTCCAAACATCCGACCCAGGTGGGACATCTGAGCCATTTATAATCTGGGATGTCAATAATTAGTTCAAGCACATAGAAACATGCATGGTTTGGTGGGAAAGGATTCAGCTTGAGCCATGAGGCTTGCTTTCCAGCTTTAGCTGGAAACATGTTTAGATCCTTGTCACAGGCTGGGCCTCTAGGTTCCCTTCCATCTGCAAATCCCTGGAGTTCCAAGATAATGTCACCCTTCCTTGGCATGTTGTAGACGTCTGTTCTATGGAAAGTTCATGGTTATTTTCTCTTTCTAGGTTCCTTGTTTTCAGGAGTAGATGGGACTATCTTCAACTCTATTTGATATTTTCTCCAGAATACCCATTAATGTCAATACCATTGACTGCATACATCTCTTGTCTTCCATGACAAATTGGGAACTTCTTGGGGGCATAAAGTGTGTCTAACTCAACTGTGCCTAATTTATTCAACATATTCACCAGTAAATATCTATTACAATGAACTGAGAAAATTCTAAACAAAATAGAAATATGTTTAGGATTTTGTTCCAAACAAAAGAGAATAGTGTCTACAATATCAAATAAAAGGAGTTCAGTTTTGCTTGGATTGATTATAATTCTTCGAAGTGTCTAAACATGCATATGTATTGACCATCTTTTCAGCTTAAATAAAAATGTTTACTCAGTTGATTTCTCTTATTCACAATAGTTATTGTGCTGCTATGAAGTTGCTGAAAATACTGAATTAGCAAATACTAGGCATTACTCCTAGGAGAAAACAAGGTAAGCCTCTGGTCACAACATAGCCATCAACCAATCCTTAAATAACCCTGTTGTATGTGTTTCTGTGTACATGCATCTTATCTAATATATATTGTTAGTTCTTACCACTGAATGCACGCTGTCAACACCTCTACAATTCAGTCCTGAAAGAAGTATATGTAACTCACATGTGTCTTCTTCAAGGCACCTTTATGCTGTCTTTCACTTAGGAATGCTAGTCAATGCTTGAGCACTATGTTTCGAAACCATTTCACACAGGGGTATCACCAGCGAAAAGTGCAAAAACTCAAAAACACAGCACGAACCATACCATGAAAAAGATACTTGCTTACAGTCAGAACTGAAACAAGAAGGCTAAGCATCACCTTTTCTAGCCTCAGCTGGGAATATACATATCTTGTTGCTTGCTCTGTGCTTGTCCACAAATGATTGCAAAAGCTTGTAAGTACCACTTTGAGGACTACAGATAAATTTTAGTGAATAGCCAAATTCCCACATAGACGAATAGATGAATTCTGTTAATAAAGATTGACTGTACACTGATTTTTCTCTCCATTCAATTAGCATTACATCATTTTTAGCACCTGATTTCCCCTCCAAATATAAAGGCTCCTGGAAGTTTCTTCTTCTCCTCCTCCTCCTCCCCCCTCCTCCTCCTCCTCTTCCTCCTCCTTCCTCCTCCTTATAAATAAGCTACTTCTTAGCCTCTTGGTTCTCTCTCTCCCCCATTCCCTCAGCCCTCCTCTGACGTCCCCTTTCTTTTTGGCTGCACTTCTGGTCTTGTTTTGCCCACGCCTGTTGCCTTTATCCCTATCCAAGCCTGTCTGACCTTTTCTTATGGTCTCCCTTCCACTCCCTGTCCTGTTCCACCTCCTCACCACTCCCACTTTTTGTGTGTGTGTGTGTGTGTTTTTAATATTCTTAGTCTCTTAAAAGGTCACATTTTTGTAGGCACTTCTGTTATAATAGGGTTAGTTTTGTTAATATTTGTAATGAATACTTAGCCCCATGAACTTCCTCAGCACAGGACAGGACCATTGGGTGTGGAGGACAATGGAAAGGAACTAACAGGGCCAGGGTTGATGCTGGGGTGGGAGATGGTGGACGGGGTTGAGGGGGCCAGGATGAGGGCTGCAGGCTACCCATGGGTGGAGAAGGGAAAGGAGGAACTTTGTGACAGCTGGTTTCAGCAAACAGATCCCTCCATGAGTCAACTCTAAAAAAACACAAGGAGAAGACAGACCTCAGACTAAATTCAGGACAAAGTGTAGGGATGCTCCAGGCAGTACATGGCTCTACAGAAGCCCCAGAATCAAAAGACAGGCGAGTAGGAGAAACCTAAGCAGCACCTAGTGGAAGAACAGTGAGACGTTCTCTGAGATGCAATGATTCTAGCGTCCAGTACAAGGGAGAGAACATGAAATAGAAGTCCACTCTATGCTGAATGTTGGGGAGAGGCAGTTCCTGCAAAAGGTTTTATGACCTTGGTTTCCATTTCAATACCCGTCTCCCCATCTTGGAATGCTTCCACCCACTCCTCCCCGGTAGCCTAACCTGAACTTGTCTTCTGGATCTGAGGTGACTATAGATAAGATGGTATTCACCTTATATCTTAAAGAATAGGCACAATTTTGAGAGGAACTAAACAACTAGAAAGACATTTATAGCTGCAGAATGGCTGAAAAAGACATGGTTTTAATGAGGACTTGCAATTAATTCTCATGGCTGGAGCACAGGAAGCAGAGTGCAAGGTCATGGAGGGCCCTAAATCTCAACAAGGTTGAACTATTCTTAGCAGACCATGGGCTGTCTATGAATGTGTGAGAAAAAGTTGCAGCATGGTTTTGATTTAGAAAGACAATATAGGCAAAAGTATAAACAATGAATTGAAAGGACAAGAAATGGGAAGGAAGTGGTAAGGAAGGGGCTGTGATGGCCCAGACAAGCAATGCTGAGGCTTAAGGTGGCAATATAGTCCTGGCTTCAGTGCTAAATTAAATTTGGGAAATGCAAATCAAAACTGCACTTGAATTTGATCTCACACTCGTCAGAATGGCAGTCATCAAGACTATAAACAATAATAAATGCTGGAGTGGATGTGGAAAAAAAGGAACACTTTTGCACTATTGGTGGAATTGAAAATTAGTATAACCACTATGGAAATTGGTGTGGAAGTTCCTCAAAGGAGTAGACATGGAAACACAATATGACCCAGCTTCTTGGTATTTATTATAAAGAATTAAAGTCATCATACTACAGTAATACATGCATACCCATTTTATAGCAGCAAGATTCAAAGTAGTCAAACTAGGGAACCAGCATAGATGTCCATCAATGGAATAAAGAAAATGTGGTATCTATACACAATGGAGTTTTAGTCAACCATTAAGAAAAATGAAATTATGTTATTTGCATAATATTGTCATTTGCATAATATTGTCATTTGCATAATAAATTATGTCATTTGCATATTTATCTAACATAATGTTAGACAAAATAAGCCAAACCCAGAAGGTCATGGGTCATGTTTTCTCTCATATGTGGAAGCTAGAGGAAAAGAAAGTTGTGGGGGAGGGAATCTCAGGAAAATCAAAGGGAAAGAAAGGGGAAATACTGGGGAATGATATTAGCCAAATTATATTGTTATATTGTGTTCCTGTATAAATATGTAGCAACAAATCCTATATGTAAATGTACAATTATAAGGCATCAATAGAAACATGGAAAAATGTTTGCTAAATTAAGAATACAGAATTTATTATACCAAATATACCTATCTTTGTAGATAAAATGGTAAGCCATTTTCAACTATTTATTCATAAGAAATATTTCTCCCACTAGTGTATCACTTTTTAATACAATAAATTATTCTGTGAACAAATTTGGCAGCCAACAATATACGATAGGAACAGAGAAATTAATCATCTTAATAATAATGATAATGGTTGTCATATATGCACATGGTATTCTTTTTTTTCATTCATTCATTCTTTTAATTTTTTTAGTTGTCAATGAACTTTTATTTTATTCATATTTTATTTATATGTGGTGCTGAGAATCAAATCCAATGACTCACACATGCTAAGCAAATGTTCTACCACTGAGTTACAACCCCAGTCCTCATTTATTCTTAAAACAGCATAAGGTAAAGCAGAAATAGCAGATCCCATTTTACAGATAGGAAAACCAAAGCTCAGAGTGTTGGAATTGTTTTTCCAATGATGCACAACTAGACAGGAACAGAACTACTATCTGAGCTCAGGTTTGTTTTAACCTGAAACTCGTGTTCTTAATTACACTACATTATACGGTAGTGTTGTTTAGTATATAGGGAAAATATATTTTAAAAGTAAAAGTATTTAGTTCACATTTCAAACACCATATTAATGCTGAAAGATCATACTGCAGCTAACATATTTTTTGGTGAAAATATAAGTCAGAAGTTAAATCCATAATTACAGACCCACTATGCTCAGTAGCAAGGTGTCACTTTTAGTTATTTTTCCGACAATTGATGCTCAAAGACAAAAGTATTCCATGAAACACACTGTGATGGTTTGGACATGGTATGAGTATGTCCCCCAAAGGGTCAGGTATTGAAATGTAATCCTCATTCTCAGGTATTAAGAGAGTGAAAACTAAACTTAACCATGTTGTTTAGAGATGGAGCCTTTGTTCTATTATCAGGACTAGATAAAGTCATTAGGGTGGAGCCCCCACTGTTGAATACTTGTGTCTTTATAAGAAGAGAGACCAGAAGACAGACACACACACACATACTGACACACACACACTCCCTGACTCTCACCACATGAGGCCCCACCCTGCCTCAGGACTCTGCCAGCAAGAAAGCCATCATCGGCTGCAGCCACTTGGCCTTGAACCTCCAGAACCATAAGCCAAAATAAACTGCTTCTCATTAAAACTTTCTTAGTCTGTGGCTGTGTAATTGGCAGCAGAAAACAGATACAAACAATAGCCAACCACGAACCATAAAAATACAAGTGTAAATTTTCAAAATAGTTTCTGATTATCATCTGAATTTCAGTAATGTCCATTGTGATATTTCCTTTTTCATCACAAATTTTAGTAATTTGAGTTTTCAATCTCTTTCTCTTCATTGGCATGGCTAAGGGTTTATTAATTTTATTTATTTTTTTCAAAGAACCAACTTTTTGTTTTATCAATTTTTTGAATTGTTTCTTTTGTTTCAATTTCACTGATTTCAGCTCTGATTTTAATTATCTCCTGTCATCTACTGCTTTTGGTGTTGATTTGTTGTTCTTTTTCTAGGGCTTTGAGATGTAATTTTAGGTTATTTATTCATTGACTTTCTTTTCTTTTAATAAATGAGCTCAAAGCAATGAACTTTCTTCCTGGCACTGCCTTCATAGTGTTGCAGAGATTTTGATACCATTTTCATTTACCTCTAAATATTTTTTTATTTCAATCCTGATTTCTTCTGCCATCCATTTGTCATTCAATAGTGTATTACTTAGTCTTCAAGTGTTAAAGTATCTTCTATTTTTTATTTTATCATTGATTTCTAATTTCATTCCATTGTGATCTGATAGAATGTAGGGTATTATCTCTATTTTCTTGTATTTGCTAAGAGTTGCTTTGAGGCATAAGATATGGTCTATTTTAGAGAAGGATCTGTGTGCTGCTAAGAAGAAAGTGTATTTGCTTATTGATGGATGAGATATTCTATATATGTCTGTTAAGTACAAATTATTGATTGTATTATTTAGTTCCATAGTTTCTTTGTTTAGTTTTTGTTTGGAGGATCTATCTAATAGTAAGAGAGGAGTGTTAAAGTCACCCAGTATTATTGTGTTGTGGTCTATTTGGTTCTTGAAATTGAGAAGGGTTTGTTTGATATTCGTAGATGCTCCATTGTTTGGGCA